GCTTTATTGAGGCATAATTGACATTCAACTACATATATTTCTTATATTTAAACAGGATTTTATTTATATATTTATTTATTTTAGAGAGAGAGAGAGCGCACACTTGTGCTCATGAGTAGGGGGAGGGGCAGTGGGAGAGGGAAAGACAGAGAATCTCAAGCAGAATCCCATCTGAGTGCAGAGCCTGACATGGGGCTACATCTCATGATCCTTGATATCATGACCTGAGCCAAAATCACTTAACCGACTGAACCACCCAGGCACCCCTCAACTACACATATTTAAAATATACAACTTGATAAGAATAATGTATGTATGCACCAGGAAACCACAACAATCAATTACCTATCCATTATCCACTTAGTAAACTTATCCATCACCCTCAAAAATATTCTTGTACCCCTTTATAGTCTACCCTCCCACCCATCCCATCTCCCCCACCTCTCTCAGGTGACCACTGATATGCTTTTTGTCACCACAGATTAGTTTACATTTTCTAGAATTTTATATAAATGGACTCATATAGTACATATGCTTTAACAGTTTTAATAACTTTCAGAGATCTTCAAGTTCATTGATTCTTTCTTCTGAAGTTTTGTTTTTTTTTTAAGTAAACTCTATGCCCAATATACAGCTGGAACCCACGACCCCAAGATCACAGGTTGCATGCTCTACTGACTGAGCCAGCCAGGGACCCCTGCCGTACTGAATTTGCTATTAATCCCATCTAACAAATTGTTCATTTCACATTTTGTATTTCTCAGTTTTAGAATTTCCATTTAGTTCTTTTATATTTCTCTTAAAATATACCATCTTGTTACCCTTTTTTAAAAAGATGAGTATCTTTTTAAAAAATTTTTATTTATTTATTTGACAGAGACACAGTGAGAGAAAGAACACAAGCAGGGGGTAGTGGGAGAGGGAGAAGCAGGCTTCCTGCTGAACAAGGAGTCCAATGAGGGACTCGATCTCAGGACCCCAGGATCATGACCTGAGCCAAAGGCAGACGCTGAATGACTGAGCCACCCAGGCGCCCCTGGATTCATCTTTTTTTATAGATTCTTTAACAAACTTATAGTGAATATTTTAAATCCATATCTGCTAATTCTAACATCTGAATCATCCGTTAGTCATTTTCTGCTGAGTTTTTTCTCTGGATGGTTTGCTCAATCTGTTAAAATTTTTTTTTTTTTAAAAGTAGGGCTTAAACTCACAACCCTGAGATCAAGACCTGAGCTGAGATTGAGAGTCAGACACCTACCCCACTGAGCCACCAGGCACCCCTCAGTCTGTTAATTTTTAATGAATACTGGTCAGTATGGATGATAAGTTGTAGAGACTCTGGATTTTGCTATTTTCCTTTGCAGGGCATTGTGTTTTATGCTAGCAAGCCATTAAATTGGCGGGTCACCTTGATTCTGGGGAGGCTTGTTTTAAAGCTTTAATAGGTCTGGTTTATTTCAGGTCTGTTCTTTGTCCCATGAGATTTCAGTGGAAAGACGAAGTTGTTTGCCCAATTCCTCCTACTTGGCAGAACTTAAACTCCAAATTTTGTCTTGCCAGCAGTAGACAGCTGCTGAGGTTGCTCCTCAGCCATTTTTAGCTTTTCAGCTGTTGTTTCCCACTGGGCTCCTTGGAGTCCCACCTCATGAATGCATAGTTCCAGAATCAGCCCGTGATTTGAGGGGAATGTATGTATACATTTGGCGGCTTCCCTTTCCCTGTCCTCTTTCTTCCCAGGATCTCCTCCTGTATTCCCAGCTACACTGGAAGCCTCAGACTCTGGACTCTCCCTGATTCCTCCGCGCAGTTAGACTGCAGTTTTCTGCTTGAGCCATATTCCTTTTGGACTGCGTGGAAGTGTCCTCAAAGAAAAAGCCAGTTAGGGGTGGATCTCATCGAATCTCACCTTTTTTTCAAGGATCATAGCCTCTCCGTTTTTTGCCTGATTTCTGGTTGCTCTCCAGAACCTTCCAACAGTTGTTTTTTGTTTTTTGTTTTTTTTATTTTATCCAGAGTATATTACTACTATTGGCTGGAGGGTTAGTCCGATATAAATTAGCCCACCATTATAGAATATAGAACTCTTCAATCTTTCTATAAGCTCTCTGTCAACTCCCCTCAGTTCTCTCAATTAAAAAAAAATTGGGGTGCCTGGGTGGCTCAGTGGGTTAAAGCCTCTGCCTTTGGCTCGGGTCATAATTCCAGGGTCCTGGGATCGAGCCCCACATCAGGCTCTCTGCTCGGCAGGAAGCCTATTTCCTCCTCTCTCTCTCTTTCTCTCTGCCTGCCTCTCTGCCTACTTGTGGTCTCTGTCTGTCAAATAAATAAAATCTTTTTTAAAATTAAGTTTATTTTTATTTATTTACTTACATAATCTACATCCATCATGGGGCCTTGAACTCCTGACCCTGCAATTGAGAGTCATATGCTCCTCCAATTGAGCCAACCAAATGCCCCTCAATTTTTTTTTTAATGGCATACTGTTTGTGTTTTATGGATACTCTATCTTTTCTTAACTCCCCTGAAGATATTTAATGATAGTGTTTTCTGTTTTTTAAATTCTCTTCTCTATGATGGTCTATTTCCTCCAGTTTTAATTCTTCTCTTTGTTCTTTGCTTTGTCTCTGACATTTATGTTGGAGGTTTTTCCCTGATGACCTGTGGTCGTCTACTGATGTTTAAGAGTAGGAGATGAAAATTAGATTGAAAGCTCTGTGCCCGGCTCGTGGGTGGAGCCTGTAGTGCACTTCATGGTATGGTGCTCAGGCTGGGCTCTTTGTTGCACTGCCCAAGTCCCACTCTTTCCAGGTCTGCTGTCATGGCCTGGCCACATTTCCCAGAGAAGATTCTTACCATCTATCGTCTTCTGTTCAGGATGCTATAACAAAATGCTGCAAATGGACCACCTGTTTTCAGATTTTATTTACTTATTTCACAGAGAAAGAGAGAGCGTGCACACAAGCAGGGGGAGCAGCAGAGGGAGAGGGAGAAGGAGGCTCCCCACTGAGCAGGGAGCCCGATGTAGGGCTCGATCCCAGGACCCTGTGATCATGACCTGAGCCAAAGGCAGAAGCTTAACCCACTGAGCCACCCAGGCACCCCCAGATGGATTACTTGTAAACAACAGAGATTTATTTCTCATAGTTTAGGCCCTGGAAAGTTCAAGATCAGGGAGCTGGCATAGTTGGGTTCTGATGAAAGCCCTCTTCCAGGTTTCAGACTGCTGACTTCTCTCTGTGTCCTCACATGATGGAAGGGGCTAGGGAACTCTGTGGGGTCTCTTTACACCCTTATGACCTAAGCACTTCCCAAAGGTCTTCCCTCCCAATGCCATCACCTTGGGCATTAGGATTTCAAGATAGGAATTTTGTGAGGGTACAAGCCCTAGACCATAGAAAGTCCCTTCCCCCAGAGTTTAAGGTTTAGCGGCGTGCTTCCTGGAGCTAAATGGGAAGAACACTGAAGGTCTCACTACACATGAGGCATCTGTTCACTTGGTTCCTCAATTTTGGAGTAGCCAGCCCTGCCGTCAGTGTGCTTGTTGCCTGGTGTCCCCTGTGAGTGGGACCCTCTTTGGGATCCTCTTCAGAGGACACACACTCAGACTTGTGGCAAGCACGTAATTGCCTGGAAGTGTGGAGTCGGGGGAGGGCTTCTAAGGGTCTGCCTGTTTCTCAAACGGCTCAACAACTCATCTGCATCCTTCAGTCTCCCTTCCTCACCGCCAGTAGTCTCTGGTGTTAATTCCTGAACCATCTGAGGACCCTTTGTGCAGATTGGATTCTCGGCTTTCCTCACTCCTAGCTTCAGGTCTGGCTTTCTCGAGTGCATAGTCTCTTGTCACTCAGGCGTCTGCTTTCCAGCCTCCAAAATTCTGATGGTGGTTTCTCCTCTGGGTTGCAGAAGGGAGGGAATTGAACTCAGAATCCAGCAGCTGGATTCAAGAAGGCAGCTTTCGTTGAGCTGGTTAGTTAGAGTGCGGAATCTCTAAGTCCATGGACGTGAAGTACTTCCGAATAGTGAAACCCAGAGGAAATTTTTGTAAGAAAACTAGTGCTTTTGAATCAGGGTTAGTATAGACAAAAGTAGCAAATGGAGATGAATACTTTTGAGAATTTACAAGCAAAAAGGAGAAATGGCATGGGCTACATCATCTAGGAAGGAGACCTGAGAAAGGGTGCTCTTTGCCTCCAGGGGTTCTCTGCTGTGCTGGGTCCTCTGCATTGGGCCCTGCATGTGGCACTTGTTCCTTGCTTCAAGGAAATGCAGTGGGGATGAGAAAGCTCCGAGCGGGGGGCAGTGCAGTGATAGCCTGACAAGGGCAGGTGGGAAGCATTGGGATTCTTCAGCCGGGAAGGCAGGCAGGTGACCTATCCCAACTTAAAACCACGGCCAGTGTGAAGAAGGCTGGTGTCAACCTGGATGCTAGAGGGTTGCTTTTGAAACATAAGCAGGTAGGTTTAGCCAAAATAAAAGGAAGCACAATTTACTGAAACAGATCAGAAACTTGGGAAATGATTACAAGTGGCTGTTCTTGCAGATGGCTTAATTCCACAGGGGCTGGACAAAAACAGAGCATACCCCCAACCCCCACAAAAAGAAAAAAGAGAGAGAGAGAGCCTTCTAAGAAATCCTGGAGGTTCTGACCCATACATAACCCTCCACTTAGACACTGATGAGGACAGTATGCTCTTACTGGGATGGATGGAAAATGGGGCAGCTTGGGGTAATAGGGAAATCTCGTCCTGAATTAAGAAGATTGGGGTCCAAATCCTCAACTTATTCACTGTGTGACCTTGAGCAAGTTCCTAACCTTTCTGGTGCTCACAAGGTTCCTGTGAAAATCGTTAAATAATGTAGTTACATAACCCACAGTAGGTTCAATGAAACAAAGGTTAGCCTGACTCCAAAACTGAATTATCTGGGTTTTTATTTAGCACGTATTTGCTGAGCCCTATCAAATACCAGGCTCTGTACATATATCTCCCCTATTCTAGAAAGGCTCATGAAGTGAAGGCCCAGCTCTGTTCCATCCTGCAGACCTTCCTCAGGATGGCGGGAGGCTGTGAAGGTGAGCACCCCTGCGTCCTCTCCTGGTTGCAGAGTGTGATGACATTGTCTCCGAGCACTCCCTTGGCTGGGGCACCTGGTCCCATCTCAGCAAACAACCCCCACTTCCCTCCTAGCCACTTCCCCAATAACCAAACAAAAGGTTTCACAACCTAGTGGGTAACACCAGATGGTACTGATACGCTTTGCAGGCACTTCTGCTTTTCATTTATTTATTTCTATCGAGAATCTCTAGATAACAAACTCTGGGAAGGAGAGTTGAAGGATTTGGGGGGAGGTGGAGGGGGTGGGAATGAGGGCCACTGTGACACAGTGTGGGGTCGAGATTCATTCCCCTCCTACAGGAAAAGGTGTTCCTAACCTCTGAGTGCCCACATTACTGTGATTAATCATGGTTACCTCAGATCACGTTGTGTCTCCTCCGGGCTAACTGTGCCCCCTGTTCCTTAGTATCTGGTCAGGGACGGCCTGTGATGTAGGTTTGATAAGCGTACCAGCACCTGCCTGGTGTGCTGTACGCCTTGGCTATAACCACCACACCTGCCTATCCCAAACCCAGCTTTCAACATACTTCAATGTCATTCATGTAATTTCTTGGCCTCCATTAGACCTCCCTTTGGTCCAACCTCAAACTACCCTGTGAGCTTTTATTTGAATTAATGCCTGACTGCCTTTCCTTGATGTTTGTGACGTTATGGGTGGGAGGGCTGACTCTGGTCCTGGATCTCACCTTGCCTCCCCTGGCAGAACTGCTTTAACTTTGACCCCATTTCTTTCCTTCTCCAGAACTCACATGCTGCGTGTCGGACTGAGCTAACCCTATTTCATACTATAAGCCAAGACTTGCTACACTGTCCTGCTGATGTTCGCAGCCGTGCCTGGGAAGGAGGCAGCCCCATTTCCAGCACATTTCAGTGGGAGACCTACACATGTGCCCCCTGGAGACTCGGTGGGGCAGGGGAAGAAACTGTGGGAGTGCACGTCCCCAAAGCCGCGTCTCCATGTGTGAATCAGTGTCACCTCGCTTTCCTCTCAGAGACTTCACTGTCCCATAGCAGGACCTGCCTGAAAATGGAGGGGACAAGGGGGCCCTCAGTCTCCTCCTTCTCCAGCACTCCGTTCCCAGGCACCGCGGCTCCTCGGGCAGCGGAGCGCCTAAGAGCTCAGAGCTGCTGCTGCCCTGCATGTGTCAGCTCAGCCCTATTGTCAGCGCCATGATGGTCTACGGGAGGGACATGGCCGCTTTCTGGATGGATTTTTCTGAAGAAAAGTGCCAGCGTTTATGGAGTTCATGATATTCTCCTCTCCTTACCATTACTGTCACTTCGCTTTTTCTCAATAGGCTTCATCTTCATTTTTTTTTTTAAATGGGGAAGTTTTGCTATCACCCCTCTGTCCTATATTTGGCTTCCCCTCCTCTACCCTTCCTAGGTACAGAATTACGAGATTCTGACAAAAAAAATAAGAAAATCTTCTTCGGTAAGCCTGTGGACTCTTCATATCATCTGTATTTTATTGTTGGAGAGGCTGGTGTTCTACTAGGTGCTGCCTGGTCCCAGACAGCCCAAGCAAAAGCAGGTGTTGAAACCGAGCTGAGTGTATATCACTGTGACAAGCCATTCGCATACTGCCCTGTTCCCCGACAGCCAAGCCAGCCGCCGAGCAACCGCCACCAGGTTAGTCCTTCAACGAGTCACAAATCACCCAGGTTTATTTTAAGCAGATGAAATCTGTTTGGCCTCGGAGGGTGAAATGAGAGACGTGTGTTTGCAGGTGAGTGTGTATATCTGACACCACGAGCCCCCCACCCTTCTAGCCCAGACATTCTGTGAACACACGTGCCTAGGCCCCGGGAGATGTGCCTGTGACCCAGTTTTCACTGGCTTTGGGCGTTTCCTGTCTGCCCTCAGCACCAGCCCTTGCTGGCCCCACAGGCTGGCCATTCTGCAGCTCTGTGCACACAGCTTCAGGCGTGTGAATAACTTAGTGCCCCCACAACTCCCCTGAGCTGATGGGAGCCTGGCCACTCCCTTGTCCTCCATTTGCAGGGACAGGCTGCAGGGCACAGGCTCACAGCACCGTGAAAGGAAACCCGAGTCTGGCCTTAGAGCTGTCCCTGGGGTCTGTAGCCGATGGCCAAACAGCCAGGTGGTTGCAAGACAGAATGACTACAATTGAGTTGACACTCCCCAGCCCCCCACCTCCTGCCCCCCAGCAGAGTGAGATCTCATTAAAATGACGATGACACTGTAGATGCCCAGATCCTCAGAGGCTGGGTTCAGTTCAGCAAAGAGAACGTGATGGATGATGACTGTCGGCGATGCCCAGAGCTCAAGCTGCCTTCTCCTTCTCCTGTTTTGCAGCTAGCATGGTTTCTCTTCCGAGGCATTGCTTCTCATCTTTGGCTCTTGCAAGGATGACCTGGGGCTATTCTCACCACTGCCAACTCTTGGAGCTGTTCTGAGTCTTGCCCTGTGTTAGAGGTGCCCAGTGAGTAGGGCGGAGGTGACAGGCATCGCCCTTAGGGTTCCCCAGAAAGAAGCCCCTCTGAAAAGACCCGGGGAGAGGAGGCAGCTGGCTCTCTGCATCACACCCCCATGGTGTGTTCTTTCTAAAGAAAGACACGGGAAGGCTGTCTGCATGTCCTGCCCGGGTTTTACTGTCTCACATAGACATAGGAGGTACAGTGGCTCCCTGGCCCTTTCCCGCCCTCTCCTGACCCTGTGAAATGTCACTGTTGATTACAGAAAAGTCCGCTTCCGTGTCCCTGCTGCCAAGCTTCTCCGCCTTTTGGGAGAGGCCCTCCTCACCCAGGCCCAGGAGACTTGGAGATTGAGGCCAACCCCTGTCTGCAGGGAGAACAGGGAGTCCCCTGCCCTAGGTGTAGTTCACACTGAGCTCTGGCAAAAGTGCAGCTTGTTTTGAGCCACATGTACCGAGAAAGCTCTTCCTGCACCTTGTAGTAAGAACTCCTGGTTCTGTAGCCCCGTCCTACAAAGAGCAGGCTCTCCAGCATTCTAACTGAACACTCGAGGGAATAGAGGGACGACACCCAGGAGCCTCTAACATTTGCCTTGGCCGTTCTGAGCGCTTGGTGTGAGAGGGTTTCCCAGCCACCCCCTTCCTGGGGCCACAGTGCCTCCATGGCGTGTGCTGGGGACATGTCACTGGGTGCAGCGCACGTGTGGGGAGGACATGGGGGGTCTGTCTGCACAGCCCACGGCAGCTTTACCCGGAGGCGCTGTGCTGAGCCTGGTCTATGCTCCTTTGGATGAGGACACAGAAGCTCACAAGCCGTCTTCCCACTCTGCCTCACCACCTGCCCACCCCTAGAGATGGTGCAAAAGAGGACAGACTGGTTTTCAGCCCACCTCTCACAGCTCCACTTTGCCCACAGCCAGGTTTCTGTCAGTCAGCATCCAACCAGGGACACACAGCCACTCCAAATATTTAAAACAGGGGTTTTCATCCAGAGAATTATTGAACACAGCAAGAAGAGGCCCAACTCAGGTGGGGAACAACAGTGGGAAGCAGCCACCCCCGGAGGCTGGTAGAGGCCATGTTACCAGAGCGCAGGGATTAGGGCCCCTGGGAGGAACAGGGGACCACACAAGGCCTATCTGGTGGGACCTGGGGCCTCAAGGAGGCATGGAGGCTGCTGGAAACAACCCCCAGGCAGGTGTGGGGAGAAATAGCCTGGCTTCTTCTTTTCTCATGCCCTATAGGTTCTTCAGGTGCTTCTTAGTTCAACCTGGCTGGAAGCCGGCTGAGCTGGGTTCCTGGGACAAGCACGCCCCTGCCACTCAGAGCGGGGGATGGGGGGGGGTGTGTGGAGGTAGAGGAGGGGTCTGAGCGCAGGCAGGCTGCATTGGGCGTGGCCTCGGTCTGCTCTGTGTCATGCCCAGCCTGGCATGTCCGCCCCATGCTATCCTAAGACCCCACTGAGGGGAGATGCAGGCCCCGTGGAGGTTCTGCAGATCACTCACCTAGAGAGGAAAACATCTTTGGGAGGGAGGGGTAAAGCCTTATTCTCAGTAGTCGTCCCTGTTTTCTTTGGGGGGAATGTACCTGTTTAGCAAGCCCTCGCCATTCCCCTCAGGAAAGCCATGTCCCAGTTTTCTGTCCATCCCTCCCCTCCGTTCCTCTGCCCCCAATTTCTGATTTGCCCTGCCAGAGAGCACTAGCCCAGACCATACATCAGCGGTCATGAGTGTTTTCCTGGGATAATTCATTCAGAGCGTGGTATTACTGTGGACTGTCTGTAAGTAGGTACCATCTACTAATCAATTTGTGTTGTGTTTCCAATAAATTTCTGGAGATCATGTCTGGTTTGATGCTGTCCTTTGCTGGGATGGTGGCTCTGCTGTGAGGCGAGGCTCTGTGTGTGCTTGGCCCAGCCCGCAGCAGCAGATGCTCCTCATCTTGGGTTCCCTATCCTCCTGCATAGCTCACAGACCAGCCCGGTGAGGCTGACCTTCCCCAGCCACCCTGAGACTCTCAGACACCTATCCCTAGGGTCTGCATTTTCTTCTGCGGTCTCATCAGCCACATCCTGAGGACATGGGCGTTTCCGGAAGGGAGGTGGCCTTGGACCCTTGTCCCCTCCCCCGGAGGTAGGAGGAGCAGCCCTCCCCCATCCACCACTCTCGCACTGCTGTGCCCAGTGCTGGCCCCCAGGTGAGAGCGAGGCTCCAGAGCAGGTGAAGCGGACCCAGGAGCTGCATGTCACACAGATGGAAGTCCAGCACCTTCTTCTCAGGCCTGTAAGTAGAAGAGAAGGGTCGGAGTTTTTGTAAAGGGAGAGGGAGCCTGATCCCAACGGCGGGCATTCTCCCCTGTTTCCTGAGTGCCCTGAGTGTTGAAACCTGCTTGGTAAAAATGAGTCCGTTGTGTATTTTACTGCTTCACACCTGTTTGTGGTGTAGACTGTGTCCCCAGGGCTGTGCTAGAGCCTGTGTAGCTTCCCTTGGGACCCTTCAGCCCCCGTCTGTGAAGGATGCCTGCTTGGGACCCCTGTTTGCCGGGATTTGTGAGAGATGGTTTTCAAAGAGGTGGGGGTGGGGGGTGCTCACTTGGTTGAGCGTCTGACTCTTGATTTCGGCTCTGGTCATGATCTCACGGTCCTGGGATTGAGCCCCGTGGTGGGCTCTGTGCTGAGCGTGGAGCCTGCCTGAGAGTCTCTCCCTCCCTCTCCCTTGACTTCTCTACCTCCCCACCTGTGTGCTCTCTCTGCCTCTCTCTCTCTCAAAAAAAATTAATAAGAGAAATAAATTAAAATAGGAGAGAGAGATATCAAGTTTCCTTCCAGAGTTTCACTAGAGAAGCAAGACATACACACATACACACACATACACACACATAGGGTCACCAGAGACCAGGAGGCTTGTAATCGACGCGGTTGTCTGTTCTGGCAGGAATTCCGGGATGGAGGGCTCAGGAAGGCAGGACTCGGTCAGGGAAGGTTTTGTAGAAGGAGGGAGACCTCTCAGGATGGAACACAGCAGCCCTCACTGAGAATTTTTTTTTCATCGTCTCAAGTGTGTTCACAATTGCTCACTGAAGCATTTTTATGATGATTGCCTTAAAATCCTTGTTAGACAATTTTCATGTCTGTGACATCGCGATGTTGACAATCTGTTGATTTTCCTTTCAAGCTGAGAATTTGCTGGTTCTTGGTATGTTCGTCGAATGCTTTTGATTGAAGCCTAGACATCTTGAGTATTATCTACGAAACTCTAGATCTTATTTAAACACTCAATTTTAGCAGGCCTTGTGCGGGATTGCTCTGGGACAATCTCATCTACTGCTTAGAGGGGATGCCAGTCTGGGATCCCCACTGTGCTTGCAGGGACACTGTGGAGGGAGAGAGGCTCCTCCTTACAGCTAGGTGTTTCGTTTTCTTTGCTAAGTTTTTTTTTTTTTTAATTGAGAAGTAATTGATATATAATATTGCATTAATTTTAGATGTACAACACAGTCATAGATACATGTACATATCACAAAATGTTCACCACAGTAAGTTTAGTTAATAGCCAACACCACACATGGTTACAAGTTTTTTGTTTTTCCTTATGGGAACTTACTCTCTTAGTAACTTTCAAATATACAAGGCAGTATTTAAGTATAGTCACCAAGCTATAAATAACATCCCCAGGACTTGTTTCTCTTATGACTGGAAGTTTGTACTTTTTGACCAACTTCACCCGTCCTCTCACTCCCTACCTCTCACTGCTGGCTGGCAACGACTAATCTGTTCTCTGTATCTATGAGTTTGGTTGGTTTTGTTGT